GCGAGGAAAAAAGGAGGGAGGAGGCCGGCGGGCGGGGCGGGGGCGGGGGGGGGACTGGGTAGTACTATGTGTCCCCAGTTATGATTGAACAGTAACTGCTTTACATCACTTCCTGTTCATTCATGAATTTCTGAATGGGTAGTAGCACTCACTATGGAGGCTTCCAACCATTCATAACTGGATGATAGTAAAATATTTTACCATCCCCAGTTTCTGAATGAATGGGAAGCCTCTGTACTGAGTGCTCTCCATTAATTTAGAATAGAGGCTGCAGAAAAAGATTGAGGACTCTGTGTCCTCAATTTATTTTTCTATTTCGAGGGAAAATATCAGGGGTCTGTTTAGACTCCTAATATTTCCCCAAAGCCGCCCCCCCCCCCCAGTGAAAAAAAACAAATAAAAAATACATCCGGGAGGCAGGGAGCATGATGACACTGCGCATGCATGGCGTTGGGTGACGTCAGACACCTGTTGGGGGGGGGGGGGGGGGCACAATTTTCTGTTCTTGCCTCGGGCGCAAAAGGAGCTAGCTACGGCTCTGGGTACCGAGCTGCATTAATCTGTGATTTTATATCTGCCTGCAGTGCAGCTTTAAACCTCAGCATATCAGTCCCAGCACATGCCATCAAAAGACTGCTCCTTCCATTTAAAGTCTAAAAGCTTGGAAAACACAAGGAGGTCCTTTTGTGTGAAAAGGGTTTTTGCTCAAACATTATATGGTAGGCAAAAAGGTCTCGTGTGTTACCGATTAACTGCTCACCTCAAAGATAAGAACAGATTCTTCAACTGGCCGGTCCCTCCAAGGGGATGGGGGCGGGTTGTGGCCTTTGATTTCCTCCACCTTTTGGTGGCAAACATAGGCGTGTCCCCTGGAACAAACACAAGTCTTCATTGAATCAGATAAATCACAAGGTGACCTCAACATTACTGAAACCACAACCCCAGGCAAACAAATAAATAACAAACTCATCTATAGTGAATGTTTTATTGACTTGTGATGCACATACTACTGTTATCCAACCATAGGATGCTATATAGCTTCATAGTCTAAGAGTGATGACCTTGATAAGGCTGAACTCTGGGATAAGCAAATATTGCCTAAATACAATAGCCTAGTGTATTCTTCCTTGAATCTTGGTGAGCTTTGTGTATTTCTTCCAGACTGAAACTAGGAGATTCCTGTAATAAAGTCCGGTCACTGCTGCTCTCTCTCCTTCTGCAGGGTGACTGGTCTTGTCTCCACCCCCTCCTGTAATAAAGACCGGTCACTGCTGCTCTCTCTCCTTGGGCAGGGTGACTGGTCTGGTCTCCGCCCCCTCTTGTAGTCTTCTGCAGGCAGACCTCTCACAGCTCTGCTCTCTGCATGGGCTATGAGCAGCACAATGATGTCACAGGTAATATCTGGGTTTGCAAAAGGCATTTGGTGCACACCATGGATTTATATCCTTTGTGCATATTGAGGAATACATTTAAATTAAAGTTTTTGTATTTATTGAGGTCGATATATATATATATCTATATATCTATCTATCTATATGCATTTCTGCCCAGAGTTCACCTTTTCAATGCATCTGAACAATACCGACACATTTCCCCTTGTTTTCCCTCTTTAAATGCTGCAATTACAAAACAGGAACCTGTTGATCTGCCAGAAATCCAGTGGAGTTTCTACTTTCGTTGTGTATCAAGCTCACAACACTGCCTCTACTGCACTGAAATCCAAAACAGTCTCGTCAGCCCTGTCCGAGATCTTCTCTGCTGGACTACAGAACAGCTCCCCTATGGTTATAGAGAGGGGGGCTCTGTGTGACATATGGATGAGGGCACGTTACAGGTCATAAACATCTGCAAACTGTAGAAATTATTTTTTCAAGGTTGCTGCACCTTTAAAGCCAATCTCTTAGCAAACCAAAAATGTACCCTTACCGTGGGGGCTACCCTTGCTAGGGTTGCCACCTGTCCAGGATTCACCTGGACAGTTCGGGTTTTGAATGCTGTATCCGGGTTTCATGGCAGCAGAAACCCAGACACAAGATGTCAGGTAGACAGGGGCAACCAAAATTAAGATAGATGCTACTGGCCGCCCACTAAAAATAGTCTAAACTGTGATATTTACATATTAATGGGAGGTGCCTTTTACATATGAATAAGCTGCGACTCATTCTCCCCCCAAAATATGTCCACGTGTCGCTAGAGTGTTCGGGTTTCGCTTTAAGAAAAGGTGGCAACCCTAACCCTTGCACTAGTAAAGTTTTTGTCTAAGGGCTACAGTAAAGCTGATTTACTTACAGTACAGTCCCTTCTACCCGGTGGTCAGCGCTCTCCTCTTCTGCCCCACCGCCCCAGCTAGTGGAATGTTCCTCGGCATCCTTACATTAATGCAGGTCTATGGAATCTGCATTAGACATGACGTCGGCGGTCCTTAGACCGGCAGAGCTAAGTGGAGAAGAGGCTGCGGAGACTGGTCTAGCCACCACGGTAGAATCGAGGGATCAGATAAATCTGCTTTACTCCAGCCCCTAGACACCAGAATCAGCATTTAACCCTCGCAGTGGCCTTAGACAGCCAGCAAGGACACTGGAGTCCCTCATAATGGTGGTGTGAAGACCCTTGAGCTCAGCAGAGAGGTCTCACCAAATCTACCCCCCCCCCAAGAGATTGGAGAAACCATCAGGTACTTTACCTCTCCAGCATCTACCAAAAACGGGAATATCCCTTTAAGCTCAGTCCTGGATTAGGTCGTTATAGGGTCCAGATTCCTGTACACCAAACACCCAACATACAGACAGATTGGCTCTCAGGAAGTTCCCCCAACTTTGCAGAAAATAACCTCTGAACAGAGGCGATAAAACCAGGCAATTGTTATGCCATTTACAGCTATTTTAGGCATCCCCGTTTCCAGCATCCTGCTACCCAAATAAAGTCTCCCTGACGGACTATTCACCTTTTAATGAGCTCCACCGCCCACTCGTACAGCTGGTCGAAGTTATCAGAGGCGTGTGTCACGGCGTACGGCTTGTATCCTGCCACAGGAAAGACACAGATTAATAAAGAATACAACACAATACACGGGCCCTTCCTGATCTCTCCAGACAGATATCGTCTCAATAAACACAATTCTGAAGGTCTCCTGGCGCCCCTCATCACCTTGTCACTCTTAGCAGAGACGGGCACAAACACGGGAAACGGGGACAGCCCGTGAAAAGAAAAGAAAATACATGTTCGAGCTCCGACAACACGAACATTGAATCTTGCTGAATGACTCACTCAGCAGGTTTCAGAAGTTAGAAGGGGAACGCACACAAAGCATGCTGCATTTGTGACAGATGGGATATGCAGGTTGTCTGCGTTGGGATCTGCTAGGCCTGGTTCACACCTGAGTGTTTCTCTGCACGCATCTATATGAAAAATTGTGGGTTTTTGTGCGCGCTTATGAACGCGTGTTTTATTGCGCCAAAAAGCATGCTGAATTCAAAACGCTATGTGTGAATGGAGCCGAATTATATCTATGCATTTAAAACAAAGTGCACTTATCCCTTTTGCCTCTTTACCCCGACACAGCCTAACCCATCCCTCTCAATCTACAGATGCACACAACTCAATCTCGGAGCCCTTGGAAGGGTAATGGGGCAAAAGGGATAAGTGCCCTTTGTTTTAAAGAGCACTTATCCTGTAAACCTAAACCCACCATGTTCATGTAAACCACAGTGGATTAAAGGTCTATATCTGTTGCATTACAATAAAGGTGCAACTACACAGAACGGCCAGAAGCGGCAGTGAGTTTTTTTATTCTTGAAATCCCTTTTAAAATGAAACTCCGGGTGAACAGCTAAATACACAAATTAAATACACATAAGGGAGATGTTTAATTTCCAAAGGACCTAAATTTCTATCCATCCGGTCCCGAGACTAACACAGTCCTTCCTGCCACACAGCACAATCTTGCCAGGCAGACAGGGGACCTGATTTTTCTCTGCAGCAGTTAAAGAACACTTACAGGTCTTGTCCCTCCCCCAGCCTGTGACTGGTCAGTGGCAGACTGATAAGCTCCTCCCCTCACTTTGCTCTCTCTCCCTATCAGCACAAGGTACTGCAGCACAACTAATTTACTCCATATGCAGACTCTCCCTCTCCCAGTCTCCCAATACATTGTGAATTTTTTTAAAGTCAGATTCTTCACCTATGGGGCTTCTTTGCCTCCACTGCCCATAAAATTGCAAACAGAAAAGAAATACCCCGGGGGCCGGGGTGCGTTCTGCACGGTCTGCTTTATGATGAAATTATTTAAGAAAATGTGTGAGAGGTGAAATAGAACAGAAACAGGCAGTCTCGGCTCTTTGGAATTCTCACAGGTTGGCTCTGGCGTCTCTTCTTGTCCTGGCATCTATAGGAGAGAGACATCCAGGGGGTTTCAGAGACGCGTGGGGATCAATGATAACATTACAGGCAACAACCATCCATTGCTATAGGCCTGGCACATGCAGCGGCCTCTGTATAAGTGTCATACACAAATGTATTCCATGTATAGAGTCAAAATCTTGTTTAGGAGCCGCTGAAACTACAGCATTGCGCCAAGTGCACATTACCATGTGTTTAATGAGCGCTGTCGCACAGCACACCTAGTGTGGTGCTGTGTGCTAGGTGCCTTTCCTATATTTACAATGGCACCCCAGCGTACCTCCTGGAGGCTGTGTATGCACTACTTTTTTTGTCACCGCAATGCATGGTTTTGCAGTAACATGTCCTGCAATGGTTCTTGGCCAACCAATGGAAGTTCCTTTAGTGGGTGGCCCTGTTGCCACCCTTCCATCAGGCATCCAAAAGGAGCTGGATGGAAAATTTTCAGGCGAACGGTGACGGCAACCAATTAACTGCTGCCGCTGTTGGGGTGTTCTGACAGGGGTACGCCCAGCACCGTCAGAATACAGCAGCCCAGCTGGAGTTCCATTTTTCCCCCCATTCAGCCAGGAGGTTGATGGAAAAAAAATTAGTATATGGCCAACTTAATGCTCCACTTTTCCCTAACACTGCCTTTGAGCCTACACTGCATGCGTGTCTGTTTTATGTACCTGCAGAACCCCTGAACTCTGGGGAGCTGAAAGCTGCCCTTGAATTACCTGCTGGGTATATCAACAAAATGTTTTCCTTTTATGCAGATGAAAAGATGCAATGCAACACGTCTGGAACAAAGCGAGTGCCAATTTTAGCAAAACACATGAAATCTTTGCCTACGCATTATTCCTTCATATGGTTTGTCTATAAAAGACACCCAACAACTCCCAGCTAGAAGGTGAATGCCGCCACCTAGAGGCCAATCAATTGTACTGCATTATGGGAAACAAAACTTCTATGGAACGAAGGACGAAAGACTGAAACATACCCAACCATTCCACCATGTCTTTGATAGCTGTAAAGTATTTCTCCTCTTCTTTTTCTGGGTTGGTGTCATCGTAGCGCAGAAAACAGATCCCATTATTGGCCTGTGTGTACACAGTGCTAACATAATGAGTGCAGTACAGAATTATCAAACCCATCGCCTATATGGTCCCAAACCTTGGTCAACCATATTTCAAACATATAGGATGCTTGGCATATCTGCTTCCTGTGGCCCTGGAGTCCATAATTTAGTATAAGGCCCCATAAACCAAACTACTATGGAAACCAGCAATCAAGAGCTGCAATTGAGTGTTAAATGCAGAAACCATAGCAGCCAGATCAGTGAAGGGTGAATAATCAGTGACTGCTACAAGTTTCTGTACATTTTCACTAATTTATAGGACAAGCCTGTATGTTTTATAAATATATATTAATTTACCTACTCAAACCTCTGCACCTAGTCCGCAAGCTGTCCAACATAGTCTATGGTGCAGATCCTTTACCTTTCAATGCATAAAGTTTCACATAACCCATAAGATACGATTACATTAAAATTGACTTCTGTTTAGCGATTAAAATCCCACACGCCACCTTGTGGCTGGAAGTTGTATATACAGTGAGCATAGGCTGCTATCACATCTACCGGACACTATGGAGAGCATACTGGGCTGTCTCCACTTGCCTTCAGGCATCAAGCAGAATCTGTATCCAAGACCACTCCCCTCCCTTCCAGCATCATGTTGGCTAATGGCTCAGGCCTGCACACTAAGAGGCATTTGCTGCCTGCATATAATTAAGTAGTCATTTTTACATGCATTGTTTAGCCTTAAATAGAAAGCAGCTCACCTTGGCATATCCGAAGTTAAAGTTGATGGCTTTGGCGTGGCCGACGTGCAGGATGCCATTTGGTTCTGGAGGGAACCGAGTCCTCACCTAGGAGTAAAACAACTCCAATTACAGAGAATGCAGTGAAGGCAGATGCACACAAACCAGGGTGTATACTGTAACTACCGTACACAATAAGGGACTTTTCCTGTCACAATTATCAGACAGTGGTACTGTGACAAAGGCTGCTCTAGATATTGCCCTGTACTACCAGGGTTCTTGCAGAGGTCGCTAGGGGTGTCTTGAGTATTGTGCAATTTATGACTCCCAGATAACTATATGAGCAGCCATATTGCAATGTCCCGGTTTCATAGTTCCAATAGAGAGATAAGGGCCAGTGTCAATTGGCTTTCATTTGCATCAGAACCACTTATGTTCCAGTGCAGGGCTATAGGAATGGAAAAGCAGTTTGAAGCTGCTCAAAAGCACCTGCAATCAATTCTGAACCATCCCTAAAGAGTCCCAAACTGATGTCAATAGCTCGCTGCATTTGCCTTTTGGCACAAGCCCAAAGCCTGTTGACACGAGCCCCAAGGTCTTCTTCATACAGGCTATAAAAGAGCAGTGTGTATGGCAAGATTTGAGCAGCTTTAAATCTTTAAGGAACTGTTCAGTTTCGATTTGAGAAGTTTACAATCGATGGGACTGCTGACTGTCACTTTACACAAACTGCCATCAGGCTTCAGTAGGATTTCAACAAGTTTCAAGTAGTTCTGAAGCTTACTGTAGTCTTCTAGCCGGCTGTTTAAAGCGACAGTCAGCACTCTTATTAAAAGGTCTGGGTTTACCATTTCTGCATGTACACCAAGTGTACATGCAGCAGGCATATGAAGTTGTTGTATATGAACACAAACTTACTTTTTTGTTATTTGTCATCTATCTCCTCAAAGCTCTTTTTAAAATGGCCACCTCTGTGCTCTGCAGGCAGTCTGTGTAATTAACAGTCTGTTAACACAATGCTGTGCTACCCTAGAGAACAAGCTTCTCTGTGGAAACTGAACTCTCTCTCTGAGCTTTCACCCTCATTCATTAACATTTATAGTGGCAATGCCCTCTGGACAATGCAGAGTAACCTGGAGAGGCAGAGCGGATGTGCAGTGATCTTGTTAAAACAACTCCCGGAGGGGGGCCGAGGTTGGTGGTTGTCGGCTGCTTTACAGCCTGTAAAAGACAATCCCAACCAGTGTCAGTTTGCTGTGGTGGGAATGTAGTATTTGTAGGAGAACTATGAGGTGAGTGCTTTTCACTCGCCTCATAGTTCTAGCCGACCTGTGACAATGAGACTGTCACAGGTCGGCTCAGTAGATCGGGAGGTGAGCGAACACATACCGGCGTTCGCTCACCTCTCGATCCTGTCACAGCTCTCTTCCGTGACAGGGGAGGGGCTGGATTCCCCCCTCCCCGCTCCGCCAGCGCTGACTGGCGGATCGAACGGGGGAGGGGGCAGGTACAGCTGGCTCTGCCTCTAGATAGGATCCAGACATAATTGCGGCGTCTCAGTATACCGCGAGCCGTAGCTCCCGGTATACTGAGCTTAGGGTGACGGGAGGACGCCAGTTTGTGTCCTCCCGTTACCCTAAGGAGAACTATGGGGAAAAGCCTTAACCCCATAGTTCTCCTTTAAAAAGTCCATCAAATTGATAATGTAAAATGTACACATATACATCATCACTGCATTACCAAAATAAATGCTAATCAAGGTGGAAATTGGGCTTTAAAGGCTTCAACAAAGCTCGATCAAAAGATCTGCAAACGCTTTGTAAATGCTTTCTGTACACATTGCTCTTAAGGTGCCCATACACCTTACGACCATCGCAAGACTTTTGTCTTGCGATGGTCATATGCTTCTTGAAAGCCCGTACGATCTGCCCACCTTGGACGGGCAGATCGTACTTGCGATCAAGATGGCGTATGGGCACCTTTACACTTTGCTGTTATTACCTGCTGTACAGACCTGTTTGCAATTTACTAATCCGACATTATGACAGGTTACTTTAAATCATACAATCTCAAAGTCCTTTTTTACAACATTGAGCTTGAGGACGGGTTTACCATATAAAACACAAGTCTCACATCTGTTCCCCTAGTTGTTGTAATTGTATTGTTACCTGTCCACCGGTGATCTCCAGGTGTTGCTTCAACAACTCCATAGTTTTTGGTGTCACCACGTAACCTTCCGTCTTGTAATTTTCACCTAAATGGAGAGAAGGTTATTTTGATTTCAGTGACACTTTACTAAAAATAGCTACATGTAACCAACTCATACATTCTTAAAGTGGGACAGAAGGTAACATGTAAAAAAATGAGGGGGTCTATATATTCTCACCATTACTTCACACTAACCGACATTGCAGCCAATGCAGAAGCAGAGAAAGCTTACACTGAACCACGGCACTCATATTTTGTTAGTTCAGACCTGCTCAGCTACATGGGAGGATGGAGAGCAGTCACACAATGAACCAAAAATGTTAGTTTCCTGCAAATGCCCCTTGGAGTGGGAGACCATAGGCAGATACGTATGTGTATTTGATGGAAGAATTTAAGATCCTACATTTAGGTTATGCGGCATTTTCTGTCAGAAATCTGGTGAGCTCACCTTCCTGTGCTTTCTGACAACTGTTATCCGTTTCATTATTCTCAGCTACCTCTGAAACCCTCCCCATGGTTTGGAGATAAGGGCAGATGTTCTGTGGTCGCAACACACTTGCTTTTCTAGGGTGACATCGCTGCTCCTTGATAGATACAGTAAAGTGAGTGAGTGTTGTCACCCTAAGACAGGAAGTGTGTTACTGGCAGGATCACCAGGTAAAAGAAAAAAACAAACAACTAATGCAGCCACCACATCCAAGGACTAGTAAGCTGCAACATATGACATTTTGACTCTATGACTAAGCCCCAATTGGGTGAAACGTGCTGGAAAAGATGGAGTAGGGCCTGGAGGAGAACTACGTGCTTTGGCTTGCGGTGTATCCAAGTGCCAATAAAGGTTTTTGAAGAATTTGGAAGAACTTAGTGGAGGTGCATCTTTCCGCATCAGGGAAGAACAGGCCACATCAAGACGCCACCCGCAGTTGGTGAATGGACCAGCAGACTGCCTGGACTGTTATCCTTTGCACACATCTGTTACATTTTTGGGTTTAGATACACCAAGTTTTTGATGTTCCTACTGCATTCAACAGAAGATAAAATGCATTTGAACTTAAAGCAGGGGCCTCTTGTAATATCCAAAGCAGTTGTACAGGATGGGCATTTGACTAAACTCAACATCCATGTCTCCAAGAGATAAAAGGACCCATAATGTTGGTCCAACTGTCCAGCCTTTACCACAAACCAATATATTTAATCTGGGTGGATTGCCCCTTTAAATCACTCACTAAGATCACCAAAACATTGGGTGCCATCTTGGTGAATGGTATAGGATAAACAATATACCTGGTTTATGGAACTTCAAGGCCTCTCCCCTTAGCTGCTCCATCAGTGAGGCAGTCTCGACTTTAACTTCACCTACGAAAACAAAAAAGGAAAAACGTATTAAGAATAATATAAGAGATACAATATACAAGACAGATTAACTAGGACTTTTTTTGCATCTCAGGGTCCAAGAGAACAGTGTGCTTGAAAAATGTGTGTGGCCAGGGAAGAACTGGCCATAAATTTGGGTAAAATATGTCCGCTCATTAGCTCCATGATGGAGCTTGCACAGGATTCATAATCTTCTCCCCTCCATGTGACCGTATTTCAACCTAATGATTGACTGATCATGCCCTAAGCACAACCACCTAAAGAAAGGGAGAAGGTATTGTGTTCCCCCATAACCTGGGGGAAGAGCATTGGGGGGTCCACAGCAATGAAACCATTGGGTGGAGGGAGTCCCATCAAGAGAGCCTCTGACTTTGCGGTGAATGGGCAAAGTGACAGATTAATTGTTAGCACTTCTGCCCTGCAGCACTGGCGGTCCCCGGTTCATATCTCAGTCAGGACACTATCTGTATGGAGTTTGCATGGGTTTACTCCGGGGGACATTGGCCATAGTATGGTATGCATGTGAAATAGGGACCTTAGATTGTAAGCTCTTTGAGGGCAGGGACTGATGTGAATGAATAGTATGTAAAGTGCTGCGTAAATTGCCAGCACTATAGAAATATTTGTAATAAAAAAAAAATATACATTTAAAAATAAAATATAAATAATATACAAAATTATATTAATTTTTGCCCATCATATACATATCGAGCACACAGCCAGCAGATGGCAATGCTCTGCCAGACCTATAGAATCCTATTCTACACTGTACATACAGTCCCATTTTTTTTTTTTTTCCAATAGAATTTCCAGGAAATTCAGTCTAATCTAAACTTCGGTTTTCTAGGAATCCTGGAGCTATGTGAATGCCGTCATAGGCCGAGAGACGTCAGCATGAGAAGCGCACGTGACTTTCAGGCACAAGGCAGCAGAGACTAAGTCTTCAGTTGGTATTTTAATCACCGCACACAGTGCTGCAGATCGGTTAGGAAGATTATTCTATGGAACAGAGACTCTACACACAGGATTAGAGGAAGGCTTTCATGGATACAACTTACCATTATTCACACACTGCCACACAAAGAATGCTTATAGGAGAATTATGAAAGTGTATCAAATATTGTACAGGTTTACAATGAAAAAGATCAGCTAGATGCAAATGAATGTCAATATAAATCGCAATGTTTTTAGGAATAACAACTCTATTATAAATGTAATATGGGGACAGACATTTGTTCATTATACAGAACTAGGCTTCTTTCTTTGTAGTGTTACGCAATGGTTGTGCTTTACTGCTCCTAATAACCGTGGAAGCCTAGGAGTTGGCCAATCTGCTTCAGTATCCTAAAAAAGATTCTCATAGAACATTGACCCTGGTTAGCTGTGCACAAGACTTTGACTTGCCTCCAAGCCCAGGTTAAAAAGGGTAATTCCACTTTCCCCAGGGATTGGTAAAATGGAATTACCCCCTCCAATCAGAAGGGGTAATAAACTGACATGGGTTTTCAACCCTTTCCTACTCTATCCCTCCAGCTAAAACTAAAAGGATTTGGCTACACATATACTTTTTATTGATGCTTTCATATGTTATACACATATATACAACAAAAGAAATAGAAAAACAAAACCCAACACCAAAATCCAGACAGTGGGCTAACAGCCCGGAATAATTTCATGCAAATGTCATGCAACATACATGGTAGGTTTACAACTCCAGAACAGAGAATATAAGTTACTAGTTAAACATATACTCAGTACCCCAGTATTGGTAGGCATAGTAAGTGGTTGCGAAGCGTTTCAGGGAGTGCGGAGGATGTCAGAAGCTCCAGTAAGCTACGGAGCAGTGGAGGTTATTTAAAAGGAGAACTATGAGGTCAAGGCTTTCCCCCATAGTTCTCCTTAGGGTAACGGGAGGACACAAACTAGCGTCCTCCCGTCACCCTAGGCTCAGTATACCGCGAGCATATGAGCGGTATACTGAGACGCTGCAGCGGATCCCGACATCGATGTCGAGATCCGCCCAGCTGCGTGACAGCTGGCTCTGCCTATCTATAGGCAGAGCCAGCTCTACCCGCCCATTCCTCCGTCCGTTCCGCCAGTCAGCGCTGGCGGATCAGAGCGGTGAGAGGGGAGGGGAATCCAGCCCCTCCCCTGTCACGGCTCTCTGCCGTGACAGGATCGAGAGGTGAGCGAACCCGGTATGTGTTCGCTCACCTCTCGATCTACTGAGCCGACATGTGACAGTCTCATTGTCACAGGTCGGCTAGAACTATGAGGTGACTGAAAAGCACTCACCTCATAGTTCTCCTTTAAACAAAGTCAACATTCGTATTAGCAGAAGAGAGCCAGGGGCTCCAAATGCGAGTGAAGCGGAGCGGGTTGCCCCTCTGCTCGTATGCAAGTTTGTAGAGGGTTAATGCTTGATCCACCAGCCTTTTCCAGTCACCCAGGGAGGGGGCCTTAGGGGTCCCCTACACTAGAATAGCATTTTTGGCATAAAATAAAAGCAGGCGGAGTAATGTCTGAGCACTCGAGGGCAACGGTAGCTCATCAAACAGACCCAAGAGGCAGAATGCAGGGTTGCTTATGTTGGGAAAACCAAGGTTAGCTTCCATGAAGGAAGTAACTTCGGACCAAAAGGTCCGTATGCGTGGACATGTCCAAAAGGAGCGTAGGAAATCAGGCTCATCACCACAGCGCTTGAAGCAACCTGGGTCGGATCGAAGGCCCATTTTACACAATAGAGAAGGAGTGTAGTATGCTTGATAGAAAAACTTCATCTGCAACAGTCTGTCTCTAGAAGCCATCACTGAGGACGCTAGAAGCCATCACTGAGGACGCTAGAAGCCATCACTGAGGACGCTAGAAGCCATCACTGAGGACGCTAGAAGCCATCACTGAGGACGCTAGAAGCCATCACTGAGGACGCTAGAAGCCATCACTGAGGACCCTAGAAGCCATCACTGAGGACACTAGAAGCCATCACTGAGGACACTAGAAGCCATCACTGAGGACCTTAGAAGCTATCACTGAGGACATGGCTACACATATACTTTAGAGGCAAGCGCCGGTGCTTGCAGTCGCCACAAGCTGCCTGTCCTTTATCATCAATGCCAGTTGATATGATTTGGCGGACGTGACAGTCTCACTTTAACAAACAGCCATTGTAGATCAGATCCCTGCTGTGGTACTGTTCAATCAGAGCTATGCTGACTGTCCGTTACGGGGTTAAAACGCACAGCACTGTTCCTAGTGCTCCATTATTAACCT